CCCCTTTCTCCCAGAATTCTCTGGCTTCACCCATGTCCATAACTTGCTCCTCTGAGGTACAGGGACCCTTCGGCTGTGCTGACTCATTTGCACTGTAATATCAGCTTCACGTAAGGTCATATCTGCCACGTATGATGGCACTGGGCCCATCTCCTGGGCAAAGACGTGCCTGTGGGTCGCACAGCCTTCCCTATGCTTCCTGTTCCTTCTAGTCCCTGCCCTGGAGCTGAGAGCATTCTCCACCCTAGGTTATTGCACTTTCACCATCGCCATGGGGAGCGAGGGCTACTGCTAATTAACAGAGGACAGCAAGATTTAGGGAGCTCTGTGGCAGAGGCTGAAAACACTTCACCTCACAGGATCCATAGATAACAGGTGTTGTCACCCCCTCTGCAGAGAAGGAAACAGCTCTGTCTGCATCTGGTGCAGCTGCGGTGCGTAGCAAGGCACCTTCCGTGCTGTGTCATCTGCCCTCTGATGTCACACTCCCTGACCTGCCAGGGAACTTTGAAAGGACTCCAACAAGGACTGATGCCTTTTGAATTAATAAACGTTGGACATATGAGGAATAAATGAGCAGAAAGAAGTACAGGGATGGAGGGACAGATAGAGGAGGAAGGGAAATCAGGACAGGTTTTTCAAGATTCTCCTACCGTGTGCTTTCCATCACACATGTTCCTTTCTTTCCAACCCCTATGTAACAAGACTTTATTGAAAAAATAAGTAAACTCCATTCTAGTCTCCTCTGGGAAAAGAGATTTAATGACTGTCAATCAATTTATTGAAACACAGACTCTATGAAGGACCACTTTAAAGCCAACAGCCACCCACAGCTCCTCCCTAGAAGATGCCAACTTCCAGGAACAAGCCAAGGGAAGCTGTAAATGACCATCTATAATACCAAGTGGAGATTTTATCTCATCCTCGCTTTTGTCTTCTCAGGTAACAGCCTCTGGAATGGGACCTTTAAAGAACGCCCTCCATTTGATGTGCCCGATGCCAATGGTGACTTCCTTCCCCCAGCCCTTGAGGGCCTCTACATGTTCCTCACAATGATCATCCTGCTGCAGGTAGGAGGCCTCCCCAACCCCCGCAACTTTAGAAAATAAGAAGTCGATGCTGGCCCCAAGAAAGAAGTAAGTGAGTTAGATGAGGAGATGGTTTCTGATTTCTTGTGGGTCTTTGGAAGTGTTTACATGGGAGGTCTCCCTGCCTTGGGGCAAGAGCTTCACCCTTCCGATAATAGCTGTAGGAAAATGTTGATCAGGCTTTGCTATTTAAGAGTGAGTTTACAATTGTGACCCAGGTGTGCTGGATACCAGTGACCTAGGATCAAAAGAAGTGAAGCAGCGCAGAAAGCTACAGAGAACTCTCCAGCCCCAAGCCCTGAGAGACAGAAAAAACAACTTTGAGCTTGATATGTTGGGGCAGAATAGAAGAAAAATCAGTAGAGAACACCCACAGAATATAAGGGATAAAGTGATAGATTTTTTTTTAAATCTTCATGCTCTGTAAGAAAATACAGTCTCTAAGAGGAGAGAAGTTGTGGTTTGGCTTTGAGAAGGTTCCATCTACATTAAATTTCCTGTAGTAGTTGAAGGTATTCCATTGTCCTCTTAAAGATTAGACATTTTCAAGCTTTCACTTATTCATCTGGCTATGTAATTATTTTTAAAAGTCAAAGCCTACCTGGCCTCTGCAGAGAATCTGCCAGTAGTTCTCTATCTGGTCAAAGTGAAATCCAAAGTCCTTGACCATGGCCAACAAGGCCCTAAGAGTCCTGGACTTTGACCTGACCCTGATCCCACCTCCTCCTACTCTCCTCCTCCTCACTCAGGTGCAAGACTTGCTCACTCTTTCTGGCTCCCAGACACGCAGGCCAGTCCCACTACCGAGAACTCTCTGCCTACAGATAAGCTCCTAACTCACACCCTCATTTCTTCAGTTCCTGCTCAAAGGTCATGGTTTATAAAAAGACTCCCTCCCAGCCATCGCTCTCTGCCCTCTTTATTTTTCTTTATTCTCCTTCATGAGGCTTACCACCATCCCACATGTATTTGTTTACTGTCACTAGAATGAATGTGAATTCTTTGAGACCAGGGATTTTTTTCAGATGACTCCTATTTCCAAGAGTTAAGACAGCATCCAAGACAAAGAAAACACTGGATAAATATTAGGTATTAGATTAGTGGATAATAATCAACAGTGGGTGTGAGCACCTGTGAAAGTAGACGGTAACACTCTGTGGCATAGAGATCTTGGGGGGCGGGTAGAACCTGGACAAAGGCACTAAAGCTCCCTCATTAACAAAACATATATATTACCAATGCTGAGTACCTATCACATCCAGACATCCTAAATTGAAGAGCATCTCTCTTTCAGTTTCTCCCTAAGAATTCCCAGGGAGATGTGAAGTCATTGACATTTAATATCTCAGAAAGGGTACTTCCTGTGAATCGATCTCAGCTTTCAGTGAAATGCCTTTGCTACCTACAAATGAGAGTCCAGTGGTTTCTAATGCCGGGTGTCTGTCTTCTCTCAGGTGCTGATCCCCATCTCTCTGTATGTGTCTATTGAGATGGTAAAGCTTGGGCAAGTGTTCTTTCTGCACAATGACCTTGACCTGTACGATGAAGAGTCTGATGTGCCCATTCAGTGTCGAGCCCTCAACATCACAGAGGACCTGGGCCAGATCCAATACATCTTCTCTGACAAGACAGGAACCCTGACAGAGAACAAGATGGTCTTCCGACGTTGCACCATCATGGGCAGCGAGTATTGTCACCAAGAAAATGGTATGAGGGCTCTCTGCACCTCCATCCCTATCTGTAGAAGGAAAATATCCTCTTCTCTTAAAAGAATAGGAAAAAAAAAGCCTTCCCTACTCCACTTACAGGCTATGAGGCATTTTGTTACATTACTTCCTGTAACCCCACAATCTTCCAGAACAAAGCTGTTCTTACTACCTCTAAACTTCCACTGGCTCCCAAAAGGCTTTTAATAGCGGCGTGATACGTGGTACCCATTTACAACATAGGATGTGTATGTCAGGACTGGACTGGGAATAATTGTGTGCCACTTATACAGCCAGATTTTAGGAATTTCACAGGTCACCTAACCTTACAGGTAAGGATGGGTCTAGATCTAAGTACATGATTATGATTACACATCTAGAAAATGCCTTCCATGCTAACTAGTCTCAGATTTTTTCACTTAGGCAACATTTTCCTCTAAGTGATAGGGCTATAAAATGCCTGGACTGTTACATTACAATAACCAAAGGTTGCCCAGAAAATTCACTTGATTTCCATCAGGCACCCTCCCCTCCATACAGAGAGACAGAGACCGGCCCTCAGAAGAGCATCCGTTCTTTTGGCTGAAAGATAGGGAAGTAGAGAAAGGGAGAGATACTATAAGCAGCGTTATCGCCTTTGCCATGGTGATAACTCGCCATCTATGTGGGCCCTTCTGGTCTCCCTCTAACAACAACACCTACCATTACCAGTACTTAGAGTAAGCTAATCACTTTCACACATTGTACCATTAAATTGTCAAAACAATTATGAGTTAGGTATTTTTAATACACTCTGAGGAAATAGACACAGGTTAAGTCACAGCTCAAAGTCCCATAACTAGAAGGTCATAGGGCCAGGACTTGAACTGGAACTGAATTGCACCCCTCATTCTCCAGTCTTGGTAGGCTAGTTTTCCATAGCAGCATAGATTCTTCCTAGGCTGTTATCGCTACCCTCAAAGTCTAGCATCTTCCTAACCATGGTCCCACCAAGGTACAACAATGCTTTTCTTGCAGCCAAGCGACTAGAGACCCCAAGGGAGATGGACTCAGACAGTGAAGAGTGGACCCAGTACCAATGCCTGTCATTCCCAGCAAGACGGTCCCAGGGGCCAGCAACATTGAGAAGTCAAGGAGGTACCCAGCCTCTGAGGAGATGGCACAGTGCCCGGGTGCCCATGCAGGGTCACTCCCGACAAAGATCTGTGGGGTGCTGGGAAACATCACAGCCTCCTGTGGCCTTCAGCAGCTCCATAGTAAGTCTCGGGCTCTTCTCTTGGAATTGCAAGAATCTTATTGTGGGCAGACAAGGAAAAGGAAGCTGGAATATGGAAAAGATTATATAAATTCTAAGGAGCTCTATAAATGGTGGGTCGTGGTCTTGTATGAAGTCCACAGAGGTGTTTTGTTACTATAGACAGTTCTTGTCCTTTCCAATGCTCAAGATTTGAAATTGGGAGGGTTCATCACATGTCAATTTCTTGCTTCTATTTTTTAAATGGAACTGAAAAAGTTCTCCACTCAAAGCCAGTGTTTCCTTATGGCAGTAATTGGCTTAAGGAGTTCATATCACCTAGACCAGGTACTCAATCTTCATTTCATCACAGCCTCCCTCTGTTCCCTGTTTATCCCCTTATGGAGCTAAAAGCCAGCAGCATTCCCCTTATTTATGTTTGTCCAATTATACAGTTAAGAGAAATAATAATTGTTATGCTCATGTTTTTATTACATGAGAAAAAGTGACAAGGATCTAAGGCTTTGTGCATTTCAAAAAATGAAATAATTTATTTTGAGAATAAATCTTAACTAGTTAGGAAGCAAAAAAAAAAAAAATCTATGTCAGAATTACCTTCATTCCCTCAGATAAATGCCTGGCCCCTGTGAGGATGCAAGTTCCTGAGTCTGGGCTGGGGCTCTCTGCACAGGGCCCCAGGAAGGGCTCTGTTTACTGATCTAAGGGATCAGATAGCAAAAGAAGACTCTGAGTTCCTCCCCTTCGATGGACAGCACTCCCTAGAAGTCAGTGCCAGAACCAAGGCCGTCTGATTCCTGGCCTGATCCTCTTTTGTCTGAATATACTTTCTCCAGTTGATCATTAAAACACATCATCTGGAATCTTCTGCACTCTCAGGAAAGGCCACAGAGAGCAGTAGAAGAGATACTGGCTAACCAATGGTCTCTGAAGTGCTATTATTCCATTACTAGAACATGAAATTTTAAAAATGAACCTTTTCATCCTTTTCCCCATGATACATGTATAACTATATATATTGAACTTTTTTTTTTTTTGTCAGTCATGGTAGGTAGCAATTGTAAATGTGAAGTTGTTTGTTTTGGTTTTTTGTGGTTTTTTCTAACATAATATCCAAAGTATTTTCCAAATGCTATCCAGTTTTCATCACACAGGGTTGTGTTTCCTAATTGTGATGAAGAAATTCTTTGAGTCTGTGTTTGGGCTTGTTACTCATCTAACTTTGAGTATGCAATTAATTCTCTTGTATTATCGTTATGCACAGAAACACAGCATTAGCAAGGACAACATGAGAACAGTTTGTTAAGACAAATGGTCCTCAAAGCATAGAAGGGAAGCGATCTATCACTGCCTCTGGGAAGATTGTTGTTGGGTGGTTCTCTTTCTTTTTTTTTTTAATCTTCCCTACTGGTATAAAAGCAAGGCACACAGTCATATCTCTCTCTTCTTTAATTCTGCCCTTCTGAATGGAATGATTTCCCCTCGACAAGTTACTAAATATTTTTTAATGAATTTACAGTATTCTCATTAGACATGGATTTTATGTATCTTTTGGTACCCTGTAGTTATGGGTATCATTGGCATCTGATGTGCAAGAAAAAGGAAGCACTTTTTCTTGAGGTCACAGCAATTCACTGCCCCTTGTCCAGTTCACAAGTCACAGCAGCCCTGAACCAGGGAGTAGAAATGTGATGTAGGGCTCTGAGCTGATGTCAGTGCGAGGGATGGGCTAAACTCAAGCTATCTCTAGATCTGGGGCATCACTCCTCTGCGTGGCTGGCACTTTCAAAGGCAAGGTCTAAGTTCATTTCAGAGCAATCAGAAAACTGACACATGGCTTAAGACTCAATTCTCACAGTCTGGACAAGTGAGCAGGGTGATAAGTCCTCCTCACAAATGGCTAAACCTACTGTTGTGTAGTCATGTTGCTTGGCGATCTGGATTTAGTGTTGTGACCGCATCCTTGAGTGTTTGTGTAGGCGTGCACTGGGCTAAAAGTCAGGAGATGTATGTAGCTTCTGGTTTTAGCTCTGTGTCTGGCTCGTTATATAACCTCAAACAAAATGGTAAACTTCTTTCTATTCGCTTTTCATCTTCTGAAAATACTTAAAGTTCTCACCAGGCTGTTTTTAAAAAATCAGATCACACAATTTGTGCTAACATGAAAGATTCCTTCTACCTGGGAGTCAATGCATTTAGCTCAGCTGCACAATGAGTTGGCCCCACAACTCTGGTCAACTTACTGAATTAGAAGCCTCAATTTCCTCATCATCACAGCAAGGATAATTTATTCTGGTTCAGTTTATTTTGAGGATTTAATTCTTTTTTTCTCTCTCTCATTGAGTTTATTGTTACGTTTTAGGTATACAGTATAGTTGCATTCATCATTGGACTCTTGTATCTTTACTACTTAGCCATAAAGAATTAGAAATTTGAGTCATTCATAGAAAAATGGATGCATATTAAGGCTATACTCATAAGTGAAATACATAAGTCACACATGTGTAAATACCGGATAGTTTCTCTGGTGTGAAAAACTATAATTGTAAATAAAATCCTACTGGTATAATTGACAATGTGTAATAGGAAGAAAAGGGCTTCAGGATTTAATTCTTAAAATTACATTTTCTAGACTGATAACTAATAGCATTTGGGGGGGCTTGGGGTTTTTTTGTTTTTTTTGTTTGTTTGTTTGTTTGTTTTGGTGGTTCCAGGGATCGAATTTGGGACCTTACGCTTGCAAAGCAGGCGGCGGAACCACTGAGCTAAATGCCCAGCCCAAAAGCAGTTTTAAATAATCTTTCTGAAGGGAAGCTAACTGCCTTGGACAAATATTTGTATATCTGATATCATTGAGGAGAAATGTCAAATTCTCATAAAGTACAATGGTAGAGCTGTCTCACCTGCTGAGATTCCAGTATTTGGGGTCTTGAGTAGGGTGACAACATTTGTATATTTACATTTCTATGATTCTAGTGAGCAGCCAAGACTGAGAGCCTATCTAAGCAAAGCATCAGCCTACCAGAAAATAGGTTTCATGTGGCCCAAATAGGTGCATACACAGGTTGGGAGGCCCTGGTGGAAGAGGCTGATTTACGCTGTCTTCTCACATCGACCTGAGAAATGTGTCCAGCTACAGTCGGGTCCTCGGAGTGGTCCGGGGAAGCTTCTTTGCAGTCCCTGGTGGGTCCCTGGGTACCCGCCCCACACATGGTGGCAGGCTCTGCATTGGCTCCTCTGCCACCTGCCTTTCGTGTCTTCCTCCACCTGCCCATTTGGCATGGAGTCTGGCCTGACAGTCTCACAGAACCCCCTGTCCTCTACCTTCCCTTCATGACTTGAGTAGAATGTAATTCTGAAACCTCCAGGGCACCAGGTTTGGCAGTACGTATCCCACCAGTTTCTCAAGAAATTCATTGAGGGCCGGGGATTTAGCTCAGTGGTGCGGCTGCCTGCCTCGCAAGCGCAAAGACCAGAGTTTGATCCCTGGCACCAAAAAACAAAAAAAAAGAATCTGGTTGTCAGTTGTCGGTTTCGCTGGCCCTTTGGTCTGAACCAAAAATAAAACAGGGATCAATGGTACCGACAACAACAACAATCAAAGCTTCTTTTTTAGCTATAAAACACAAGGAAGCATCGGTGATTATCTCCTAATCGCCTGCTATAAAAACTGTAGCTTGGGGCTCTCATCTCTGAAGCCACCTACCACTTCATGGTACCTGTCTATTCTCTCTTTTCCATCTCCTATTCCCCCAAAAATATTTTATTATGCTAAAAAAATTAAAACTGTGACTTTAAGGTAGGTAATATGCTTACAAATATTGTGAGTTTAAAACCAGTGTTTAACAGCGCTGTCAGATGGAAGATGAAATGCCTTTTTCCCCCTGGTTTGTAAGCAGCCAAAATCTGAGCAGAGCAAAGGGCCATTTTCAGAATGTTTTCCATAGACCAAATACTGCCTCGTTCGTCAGGAAAGTTGCAGGCGGGCTGGGTTGTCACCTCTGAAGTTCATCACCCCAGCCCCCAGCCCTTGGTAGAGAATGCCATGGCAGGAAAAATGGAGGTGTCACTGGCCCTCTGCCTCCTTTCCTTAACCCTGGCCTTTTGTTCTTTGGGAAAGAATCATGTAGCACTCCCAGGAAGGTCGGGCAGCCCACAGAGACAGGCTCCCACCGTAAGGTTAGATAAAAGTCCTGATTTAATTAGCAGCACAAATCTTTCTGGGAGTGATATGATGACACAGGGCAGGACAGAACAAGTGAAGCCTCTTGGGTGTGCTTTCCTTGGCCCCCAGGGTCCCAGATAAGAGGGCGCACATAGCACAGGTCCATTGTTCGCCAGAGTTTGGGTCTGGCGAGATGGACAATCCACTGAGAACTTTCCTTGGAGTTATGTCCCACTTGGGAAATGCTTGCCCTAATAATCCATATGACATTTCAGCAAACATATACTAACGCTGGGTTTTCCTAGTTCTTTATCCAAACTCTGTGTCATCAAGGCCCCACTTCAGCTGGGGCACAAACATCACTGTGCTGAACCTTACTGCTTTCACCTCCCCAGCAACCAGGACAGTCTGTTTCCATGACATAACACAACCACATGACTAAGTAGTAAAAGAGAATCGGGGCCAGGGATTTAGCTCAGTGGTTCCGCCATCTGCCTTGCAGGTGCAAGGACCTGAGTTTGATTCCCAGCACCAAAAAAATAAAATAAAGAGGGAATGAAAGACCACATGGCAGAAATGTGTCTCGCTCCTTTGTTCCTCACAATCCCAGAGATGAGCATTAGCAGCAGGCTGCTAAAGTGCACATGTGAAGTACACATATGTTCATCCTTTGCTTGTATGAAAGCATATCATACAAAGTGCTGAACTTCACTTTTTTAAAAAATTTAATCTTGGAGAATATTTCCTGTGTGTAGACAGACAGGTGGAGTCAGTAGAGAGCTGCTGCATTTTTTTAGTGGCTGTGAGAATTTGTTGAATAGTTGAACCATCATGTGTTTATACACGTGTGGGAATCTTTCATAGTATTAGTTCTTAGAGAATAAATTGCTAAATTGGAAAGCATATGCATTTTTTAATTTTAGTCCGTTTTTTCCAAAATGTTGTACCACCTGAGACATTCTCCAACAACAAATAGAAGGATCTGTTTCCTCCCACCTCTGCCAATTCTATGTATGATCAGTTGTCTACATTTCTTCAGGACAGCCTTTCCTGTGCTTGGTCAGTCAACAGCCATTCAGTACACATCCACTGTGTGCTAGACAGTACAAATAGAATGGCTAATACAGCATTGCCCCTGACTTCTGGACCTTGCCGCCCAATTAAAAAGCACCAGTAATCACAGAACCGTGCTGGAACAGTTGTGCTGTATGAGCTCAGCCGAGGGGCAGCTGCAGCATACTGGAGGCAGTCAGGAGACAAGATTAAAAGTGAACCAGAGGAAGGAAAAGACCTTCTAGGGAACGGGCATGGAGAGCATATGTTCTTGGAGGAGGAGACAATCTGAGCACACAAGATTCAGACTTGAATCTTTGTAGGAGTATTTGGAATGAAAGATGCAAGTCTGAACGGGATGGAAGTAGGAGCAACCATGCCCCAAAGGTAGCAATATTGTTCATTTCTACTGTGAGCTGTGGGTTCCTTCAGCGGCAAGACGCTGCACTCAGTAGGGTAACATCAAGATCAAGGGGAACGGAGCAGAGTGGAGTTTGGCCTCCTTTCCCAGCCCTCAGTGTGGGAACTCATCCCAGCCAGGAAAGAATTGAAACTGATAGGGCAGCCTGATGGCCCAGACCCCTGCTCCTCAAAATGTGGAGCTCAGTCCAGTAACACAGGCACCACCTGTGAGCTTGATACAAAAGCAGACATTTATCCCCGCTAGAGCCGCTGAATTAGAATCTCCATTCTGCTAAGGGCCACAGAGGGTTTGTATGCACATTAAAGGGGGGACCTGCCGGCTTTGTGTTGAAGGGTTCCAGCCTTGGTGGCAGGCCGAACTAGATTCAAGTCCTAGCATGCTATTTGTGATTTTTAACCTTGAACATATATTTGACGTCACTGTGCATCATTCGCCTTGTAATTACAATGGGAGAATGACGGTAACTGGATGCATGCTTTATGATTGTGTGATGTCCACAAACACACTCACTGAAGCGCGTGACTTTGCTGTACCTTCTCAGTAAACGTAGTGTGGTGATGAGAAGACCATTGAGTGTGAGCTCCCAGGTCACCCTCCTCAAAGAGGGTCGGTACGAGATGTAAGTGTCCTACCACAGAGAGCATTCCAACCAGTTGAGTACCTGGCAGCCACAAGCTCCAATTTGGTTACTTGGTGGCCCCATGAATTTCTCTCTTCTTTCAGAGAAACAGACCAGCCAAAGGGCCAGCACTGGGCAGAAGCACTGGTTTTATTTAAAGGCTCCAAGTGCTGAGTTCTTAAATGTTAATGGACCACAAAGAAAACCAGTGGGCTGAAGCAAAAGGTGTCACAAAGAATCCTGCCCTGCAGAGGCAAGTCTGCAGTCACTGGATAAAGGTTAACTGAATCCGTTCCCAGCACCTGCAGGCTGGGCCTTCTGCCAGTGCAGAAAGAGAAAGACCCTTCATAAAGGAGCCTTTTTTAATGCCTTGCTATACAGTTAGGTGGAAATAGGTTGGAGAATAGTATAAATAAAGAGTTGTCAGTGGTGAGGCAGTACTTTCCTCAGATGGAGTCAGTCAACAAACTCTGAGTACCTGCAATCTGCCTGGTACTGAGAACCCATCAGAGGCCCTCATGGTCCTTAACAGACTCAAGAGTAAAAGGGATATGGAGTCAACTATTGTTAATGGTGCCATCATCTGGAGATATATACTGGTGCTGTGTAGCTTGGGGCAGAGTGGTACATGTGGTAAAAGGCTGAATCAAGTGGAAAGGTGTCCTGCTTCTGACCCTAAATTAGTGTGTGATCTCAAGCAGTTCCCTCCCCACTCTCTGTGACTGTTTCATCGGAAAATCGAGGTTTTGGATTGGATGGCCTGCATGCTTGTTCCCTACCTCTGGGTATCTGTGGTAAGGTTTAACAGCTTCCCATCCTTGCTCTCCCTGAGCCATTAAAAAAAGAAAGAAAGAAAGAAACCTATTTTCTGAAAAAGGAAAACAGCCAAAATCCCCTCTATAATTTCACAGACTTGTGTGCTGTCCGTTGTGATTAGATATGCAAGCCCAACCATTGGGCGTGGGATTTCAGACTCTAAAGTCCCTGACTGTCAGCAAGTCTAAAAGGCCACTCCCTTCTCAAGGAGGATCTTGGCTGAGTGTTAAGAGGAGGAATTCTAGAAATCTTCCCAACTACTGGAGTCATCTGATGGGATCTCTGTCACTCACTGTGTCACCTTAGGTCACACGCTCAATAAGTTTCAGAGGTAACAGAGAGGTGGTAATACCCAACAAATAGTGAGAAATGTGATAAGAAATGTGTATGCTTGGAACATGAACACTGTGAATGTGGGCTCTCATTATTATATGCAGTGTGCTTAGAGTTTCTTGGGTGGTGCTGCTGGACTGATCAGAGCCACTGGCTCTGAAATCTGATGAAAGCAGTCTTCAAGGGAGCATTAATAAGACACTGTCCTATGACCACTGGAACAAAAACCCTATAGTAGCAATCCATGGGTCTGAGCTCTGATCCTGACTTTACACCAACTCCCTGGGTGACACTGGTCAACTCAGCCATCTCTCTGTATTTTAGTTAAGTTGAGATTCGTTTATCTCAACTTGGAACTGTGAGAATCCAATGGATCCACATGAATGATACAGCTTGGGAAGGTAGTGAGAGCTTCACGAATGTGAGTTCCCATTATGAAAACTGCAATCAAAGATAGAACACTGCATGCACCATCCCCATATTGTCTGAAATTTATGATGGCACATGGTATGGATAGTTCACCACTGCTTGTATGTAGAACAGTGGAAGGAAGTGCAGGTCTGACGCTGTTTTATTATCATGCTCCCTTTTGGTAAGTAGGGCCTTCTGGGGATCTATTGTCTTAAGAATGAATGAGTTAAGGTGTGAGTGTAGGCTCTGAAAGTGCCCCCAAAATGAGATATGGGTTCCATTCCCATGGAGTACATATATTTAGTTTCCTTCCTGTGACTCTCACCTGTACCAGCCTCTCCCAAGGAGAATGAATCAGACTTCTAGAATCACTGCTTTCGTAGTTAGAAAGAAATGGCTGAGGACAGTGCGCACTGAGATTTTTTTCTTTAGGATCTCAACTTGGGTTGTTATTTGTAGCTTATTGGACCCCCAGTCTTCCCCTTCTTTAACCAGTTAACATATCAAGAATCTCCGTCTGTTCTTTTCAATCATTAACTCTGTTCTAAACTTTAATTTAGCCGTAAACTCTGAATACAGATAGGAGTGGCTTTATGTGGAAGCTTCTTTGTAAAATGACTTTGTTATATGTGTCTAGTGACAGCTGGTATTTGTGGAAGTTCTGCTTCAAATGAAGCTGCAGTTAGAGCTCTAGAGAACATAACTCATGGAAATCTAGGTATCTATGTTTGAAGTTCTGACTTTATCTCTAGAGAGATTAAACATGGACATAAAGAAATTTAAAAATGGCTCGAGTAAAGACGACAGCAGAGAAGTAGACAAAGGTGGACATGACTGCTGCCGCCACCACCAACACCCCCATCCCATCACCTCTGGTCCTTACCACAGTGAAGCTTTCCTGGCATCAGACATTGAGAGGTGCAGGTCAGGGAATGAGGGAAATGAGGAAGGAAGAAAAAGAGATCAACATACAGTGAATTTCAAAGGGGTAGCAACTTCTACAAAGATGTGAAAAATTGAAAAGAGTGAGTCAGATCCAGCCTAAAGAGTTTAAAAAAGAAAGAAAGAAAGAAAGAAAGAAAGAAAGAAAGAAAGAAAGAAAGAAAGAAAGAAAGAAAGAAAGAAAGAAAGAAAGAAAGAAAGACATAGGTCACTTATCATCTTTGTCATCCTGAGAAGTTAGAAAACTTGACAAAGTGGCCCAGCCGGTACCATTCTTAAAATCTGCATGAGCTGCCAGATCCATAGCTCCCACCACCCACAGTGTCATCTTCACTTCCACCCACTTCCTTCCTTGATCTTGCACGTCTGATGCCTGTGAATGCTCTTAAGTTCAAGAACTTGTTATTGAGGTTCAGAAGAAAGAGAATTCATTATGAGCCAGACAAAACCTCAAGGTCAGGTGGGAATTCTCATGGCTACTAATATCTAGGTAAGATTTTGATGACAGGGAGAATTTTTCCACCCAACTGTAATGAGAATCATGGGGAGTGTACATCCAGAGGCAGCAAGCATACTACCAGAGTGAGCTGAAGGTGCACACTGAAAAGTAGTGGGAGTCAAAAGTGGAAATGCAATGTGTAAAAGAACTTAGAAGCCAGACGAGTTGATCATTTTAACAGTAGCAATCTGAAGATGTTTTTAAAGTCAAGAGCACCATGAGGAAAATGGAGTCTTAGGAAGACCACACAGGTCATACATATGAAGAGTTAGAAAGAAAAGCAGTAAGAGCCAGCACCTTGGTTTAGAGATGAGTGCAGAAACCCAAGATTGAGAGCTGGAGGGTCTGAGCTTGTCTAGAAGCAGGTGGAATGGGGGACACACGGTGAGGAAAAACGGACAGAAGAACTCCTAGGGCCTGCTAGCTGATAGATACGTGGATCTGATTGATAAGCAGGAATCAAATAAGAATCATCAGTGTGCCAGGTCGGTGGGAAGGGAAGTGTGCTGGATGCAAGTCTGTGGTGAAGACTGTGGCATCCTTTCCCCTAGAAATGTCAAAAATCCTCTAGAGGGAGCCTCTCTTCCCAGTCCCGTCAGACTCATTCAGCTTTCTCTTTCTCACTCTCTTCCAGGAAAAAGATGTGACTCCAGATAAAAATTTACTGACCAAGGTGCGAGATGCTGCCCTCTGGATAGAGACCTTGTCGGATGCCAAACCTACCAAGACTTCCCACTCCACCACCTCGTCCATTGCTGACTTTTTCCTTGCCCTAGCAATCTGCAACTCCGTCATGGTGTCCACAACTACTGAGCCAAGACAGAGGGTAAGAAGCAATGATGCTTGTCGGGGAGAGGGGGAAGAGGAGTATGAGGCGGGGAGAGGGCCCGATCAGAGAAACATGCCACTGGGGTCCTAGACACAGTGTCACCATTTCGTCACTGCAAGACCTTGGGTGAGTATCTTATCCTTTTTAGGTCTATTTCCTCATTTTTAGATAAAATAGAAAAATTATTAACAGTTCTCTATACAACTTCCATGCCTTGTCTACCTGCCTGCAGGGTAGATACGAACAGCTAGTGTTCCCTGAGCACTTGGCTATGTTCCAGTACCATGCTCAGCACTTTACTGCATTATCATTTAATCCTCACAACCCCAAAACTTGATGAGTATATCTTTGGATATAGGAAATGAAGAAATGGATGGAAAACTAGAATAACTTAGTGCAAGAAGTATGGTTAACACAGGGCAGAATCATCTGTGCGACTCCAAAATGGATCCTAATAATACCATGTTAAATTTACCCCTGCCGTTATATCGGCATTAACAAATAATTGATATATGATGTTGTTTCTACGGAAATAAAGTAGATAGATGGCCATTTATGTAAATGTATACTTTGAAGTCTACAAAAGGTAGATTTATCTTCAAATATCCACAAACCCTCAGTAAAGCTCCCTTGTGAGTCACTGATGAGAATAATTAGATAGTACAACTTGAGGCTATAAAACAAGAAAAGAGAGCTCACTCAGGCACTCAACCACAACCTCCCCTTCTCATGCCCAGTTTTGAAACCTCCCCAAAAAGTCACTTCAAGCACAGAAAGGTAAACAGAAGTTTTCAGGGCGATTAGGGAGACGGGGAGCATTTTCTGAGAAGTTAACTTTATTTTTGAGCATGAAAGAAGTATCATTTTAGAAAAGATGGCCTCCAATGCTCAATTATCCAAAGTTAATGAGGGGAGTTAAGCTGGAGGATTGCTTGAGTCCAATCTCTGGAGTTGGGCAGACCCAGTTCTGACTCTGAACTCTGCCATCTATACCCTGTGTAATAACAGCCAACTGGTTTGACCTCTCGGTGTTTTGGCCAGGTTTCCCTTGAGGATGGATTGAGGGAATGTGAACTCTAACCATGAGTGTCTCACTTTTGCCTCCTGATCTTTCTTTTGGCCATCACCAGAGTGGGGTGCTCCAAAAATAGAAGAAAATGAGCAGTGTCAACCCCTAGAATGTCAGGCCTGGAAGGAAATATCTTACCTAGCTCCCTCATTTTATGGGTAGTTGAGGCCCACAGAGGACATTTGCCCTGATTACAGAAGCCCTGGATGTTCCACTTACTGCAAAACTGCTTCCATATTCTGCAAAATTATCTCCATAATTTAGAGTAATGTTCTGCTTTCCTCCTTTGACCATAGGTCACCATCCCGCCCACCACCAAGGTCCTGGGGACATCCCTGGAGAAGATCCAGCAGCTCTTCCAGAGGCTGAAGCTCCTGAGCCTCAGCCAGTCATTCTCATCCACTGCACCATCCGACACAGACCTGGGAGAGAGCCTCAGAGCCAATGGACCCAACATGGACTCAGATGAGAAAGATGATACATCTGTGTGCAGTGGCGACTACTCCACAGATGGTGGCTACAGGAGCAGCACCTGGGATCAGGGTGACATCCTGGGGTCTGGGTCGGGGGCTTCCTTGGAGGAGGTACTGGAGGCCCCAGACCTAGACCTGGCCACACCTGAGCTCTGCTATGAGGCTGAGAGCCCTGACGAGGCTGCTCTGGTGCATGCTGCCCATGCCTACAGCTTCACACTGGTGTCCCGGACCCCTGAGCAGGTGACCGTGCGCCTGCCCCAGGGCATCTGCCTCACCTTTGATCTCCTCTTCACCTTGGGCTTTGACTCTGTCAGAAAGAGAATGTCTGTGGTGGTGAGGCACCCACTGACCCAGGAGATCATCATCTACACCAAGGGGGCTGACTCAGTCATCATGGACCTGCTGGAAGACCCAGCCTGTGGTGAGTCCATCCTCCCCAGGATCCTGGAAGAGGGATGTATAGTTGGGGAGCAGTGTGGAATGGTAATGAGCTCAAGTTAAGGTGATGCCAGCTCCCACCTGGAACACAGGCTCCCAGTGTGCTTTCAAAGTGAGATCCTTACAGTGTGCTGCATAACACTATCACCTAAGCAGTCACAATGCTCATTAGCATATTAGGGGTACTGTCCAGTCTTCTACTAGAGAAGCCTCTATAACTTTACTTATCCCAGTTTCTACTTTTCCAGGCTCAGTTAAACATGTACTGGTCTCACACAATTTCTGGCACCAGTAACAATACTCTAGAACACACGTTAACCCTAACTCTTCACTTTGGACAGGAGCCGACTCAAGTCAGAAAGAACAGCGCCTTAGATAGTATAGTTCAGTGTTAAATCCTAGGCCTATGTATCCTGAATCCCCATGCAGTGCCCATTTTTGCTGCCAGAATTCTACACCAGGTTAGGTTCACTCTGGGAAGCCTCATGTGTCCCTCTTTATCAACCTTTTCCCCAACCTCCCCCAGATGGATTTTTATGAATTTGCATTGAGCCAGAAAAATGTTCCAAAGTCCCTACACATCAGTGTCCAATTTTGGAGCAGCATGAATTAGTGTGCAGCCGCTTCTTGATTGCTAGCAAGGAGAAGACAGTTCTGGGGCTCTGATTCTCCCAGGGTAGTAGATTCTCGCCAAGCTTTAGAATTGCCCAGGCAGCCCTGTGCGACCTGCATTATTAGCTGTGGAGCAGAGCCAAGAGGTTCATGGGGATTGATTAGTATTGAGAATAGGAAGGGAGCTAATTAGTTCTCTTCTTCCCCAGACTCTGGCAGATGAGCAAATTCAGTGCTTCTGAGTCAAGGAAGCCACAGTACTCTATCTCTGGGTGACAGCCATCCAAGTGGCCCCAGAAGTCTTTCTTTATTTCCTCACCTGATCGCAAAATGGATTGGAGATGCTTCCAATATGGGACACATATACAGTGTTACCATAACAACCAAGATGCAAAATTGTAAAAAAATGGGAAAAATAACCCCAAGTTTAATGTTCTCACAGCATTTGAACAGTTTAACTCGGGGGCTCCCTGACAGCTGAGCAAAAAGGTAAAGTCAAAGGCTCACAAGCAGAAGACAGAGAGTTTAGAAAATACAAAAGTGGGATGGGCTGAGATTTAGCTCAGTGGCACCATGCCTGCCTCACAAGCACGAGGTCCTGAGTTTGATCCCCAGTACTAAAATAAATAGATACAAAAGTGAATAATGTTTAAGGCATCTGAAAGATGATATTTGAAAAGATTTTTTGAATTGTTTAAAAACAGTCTTAGAGTAGTACATGATTAAAAAAAATTAGTTTGCTGGACTTCCTTGTGTTCATCGAGAATTATATTTTTAGTTTTCTACTGTAGGCATTGTTGTGCAAGATATCCAGGTGGTAATAAAATAAAGATTCAAACCTCTGGTCCTCTCATTCAGCAGGGATCCAACTCGGACTTGAAAATCTCTATGATTTCAGTGCTCGCTTCAGCCGCACATATACTAAAACTGGAAAATCCCTATGATTTCAGTTCCCAGGTGATTTTCATACAAACATGTGCTTCAGAACCATACCTTGGACGACTTGCCTTTCTTCTCTCTCTCTCTCTCTCTCTCTCTCTCTCTCTCTCTCTCTCATTGAGTTTATTGCTACATTTTAGGTATACAGTACAGTTACATTCATTATTGGGATATTGTACCTCTACATGACAGGTCTTGGTTCTCATTTTTTCCCCTTGTCCCTGCCCTCCCTTCACCCCCCACCATTTACAAGCACTGTATTTCATGAATGCCCAAAATAAGAAAGAAATGGAATCCATAAAACTGATTCAAACATATCCAGGAGATTAAAAACTATTGAAAGTGTTTGCAACAGAATAAAAGAATGCAAGGATAGAATCTCAGATATAGAAGATAGGATTATAGTCAGTGACTGTGAAAAGAGAGGTCTCTTAAAAACAGTAAAGGATCATGAGAAATCGAGCCTTTCTTAAACAGCATTTAGTCTGGCTAGGTTTTTGACAAGATGTTAAGAGAGGAAAATTGAAGGACCTCTGGAATTAGTCATCTTCCAGGGCAACCTGACAGCCAGCAGCACTCTTCCTTGTTCCCAGGGATGGCAGGAAGGGGATTCCTCTTTTAGAGCATTCCTCATCTAATGGGAAGATCCAGACTATTGAGGATAAAGATTCTTGAGCATTTATGTACATGGCCTCAGGGGAAACAATGGTTATTTGACAGTGACTGACGTTAACATGGAAAAGAAGATGAAGAGAATCCAAGCCAGAACTCAAAAGCATCTGGACTTGTATGCAAGAGATGGCCTGCGCACCCTGTGTATCGCCAGGAAGGTGAGAGCGATTTCCTCCAAGCAGGTTTTGAACATCTTAGGTAGCCGAATGGCCTTAACCCTGCTGTAGGCCCTTATTTTTCTTTATATAAGTTCCTTAATGTTGGCTGTTTTTTAAGAATCTATGGCTTTGACAAATTTCCTGGAGCAGAAATCTGAACAGTGAAGATGTCATATCACTATGGCTTTTCATTGCATGTGTAAGGGAGAACCTGTAACTCATAATTTTCAATACTGTCATTTTTTTTCTCAAAGCAGCCTTGTAAAATTTGTATTCTTTGCTTGGATTCGAATTTGGGGGAGGATCTAGAGGATTTGAAAAACTTGGTCTCCATGGAGTGGCAGCAATTAGCTCTAACCACATAGCAGTTGATTCCTTTCATGAGGGACACAGGATAAACTCAGCTGTCTTCTGCTTCTGGCCACATCCCTACCACTCCTCTTGCTCAGCTGCAGTCATGTAAATTATCTACCTCATATTCTGCACCTCCTGTGAAAGAGGCAGGGGAAACAAAGGGCTATGAATTTGCAAAGCCAGGGCATCTGATAAGCAATGTAACATCTAGTAGGAGTGCTGTGTCAGGCACACATTTCCACATGGCTAGGTGTGATTTCTCCTCCAATAAACTCCTGTGGCTCTTGATCTCTTTTATGTTGCTCAGTGCAGAATATACATTGTCGCAGAATGTAAAGCCAGCCCCATCTGGGTGCATCTTCCCATCTCTCACCACTTTTAGAGGCATGGCCTTGAGCATGCTCCTTTGCCTTCCTGAGGTTTTTTTCTGTAAAATGGTACTTGTGGTCCTTGCCCCTTAAAAAATAACCAAGACAATACATGTACAGCACCTGGGACAGCAATATGTGCTTACTGCTATACTCTGAACTATAATACCTGTAGCACTTTCTATTTTCCATTAGTTATTTATGCATATTTTCTATACGCCATCTCCCCAGTAGATTGGACATTTCTCAGAAGGTAAAGAAACATGTGTCCCCTTGGAATGCCCTATAGTGCCATGCAGAGGGACTCGGAGGATATTTGATATTTGCACAAAAGATAGAATGTATATAAAGTTAACAGAAGGATCACAAAGTGCCGTGAGACCCCAGTGAGGGAGAGAGATGGCACCCCCGTGTGTACGACACCATGCCTGGTGGAGTGCTCTGCGGGCCATGCAGATATGGCTGCTTCTTTCCCTTCCAGCCTCATTTCTGGCCTCCCTCTACCTTGCTTACAATCGTTCCACCAAGTGATATATTCAAGTAACAGAAGGAAGGCCAAGATCATTACTGTTTCATAGCCTTTGAACTTGCTCTTCCCCATGAATGACCCTTTTCATCATTGGAGTTTAGCTTGCTCTCTACCTGTTGAAGAGAACTGAACAGCGTTCTCCTCCAATTACTGTCCTACCCCCTCACATTCCAGTATATCAGCCTTTTATTACCTACATATTACTTCTTGAAATGATCTATTCTTTTGCTTACTTGGTTAATGTCTGTCACCCTCCACCAACTTATTAGCCTGGGGATCCAGGGACATTGTCCATCTTGATCATCTCCAGTGCCCTAAGCATGATAGGTATTCAACAGACGTTTGGTGATAATGCAACAGAAAGATCAATATTTTATTGATTTATGCATTCAAATCCCCATCTAGTCATGTAGGAAAGTTCAAACAGCCCCATGACAGCTACGGATAGGGAAGGAAGAAGGGTTCTACTTATAACCTACCCAAGGTTATTAATGAGCCTCTTCCTGTCCTGTAGGTCATAAGTGAAGAAGACTTTCGGAGTTGGGCCAATGTGCGGCGCCAGGCCGAGGCATCCCTTGACAACCGAGATGAGCTTCTAATGGAGACAGCACAGCATCTGGAAAAGCAACTCACCTTACTCGGTAGCTAAAAATAAGTCATCCTTATAGGGAAAAAGAATGCTATAAGTTACAAAGGAAGTTCTTGGCCCTGGTCTGACACTGATACAAATTTGTCTCAATTCACAGCGTTCCTTGGGTGCCCCTTTAGGAATCTGGCATAAACAGGCCGTAACAATACCCAATCCATGGTTCTTGAAGATGTCCCGGGGGACAGTTCTTGCACTCCCTGCTGGAAGAAGCTCCTTCTCCAGCAACACATTACTCTGCTCATTCAACTGTTTCCTGAACACCTATGTGCACAGAAGCATACTAGCTTTTGGGACTGCAGTGGGGAACAAAAGTCACAGACTTACCCCCACCCCAGAGCTCACAGTCTAGCCAGGATGTCAGCTGATTAAGCAAGGGATGAGAACCGGGCTGGAAGATTGACCAGATGGAAGAGAAGCACAGAGCAGCAGGTGCTAAGAAGGGCCTAGAAGGCCATTAACTGAAAGGAGAAAGAGAAAGGAAGGCAAACATGTTCCAAGCAGGGAAAAATCCAAATGAAGGCCCAGAGGTGAGCACCTGGGCCAAATGGAAACACAGAAATAAGCTGTGAGTGGACACACAGTGTCTGGAAGGGCTGGGAGGAAGCGAGAGAGGTCAATGGGACCCAGATTATGAAGGGTCCTGTGAATTATATGCTAAATGTCTACAAGAGAGGGACATACTTCACAAAAATCACTGCTCCACAGAAGGCAGTGTGGCATGCTAGGGAAAGACAGGAAACACCAAAGATAGTTAAGAGGCAGGTTGTATTTTTGTGCAAGGAAAAGTATTGCAAAGGAGGAAAGAAAGGGGAGGCCTCATTTATAAGCACTAATCTCACATGTTGAGAGCAGAACAAGGTCTTGGTAAGAGAACAGCCAGTAACATACTCTGGCCATACAGCAAAAGCTTCCTTTCCTCTTGAGGAGAAGCACTGACCACAGAATAAGGGCCACGTTCGAGCCCTGCCAGGACCTTGCTGTGTACCCAGCAGCATGTTTCTGCACCCCTCTGAGCCTTAACTTCGCTTCTGCATGACTCACTCCTTGGGTGCCCAGTTAGACAGAAGCCCAAAGGAAAAGACTCAAGGCCACTGTAAGATGGTGAATCCTGTACATACTAAATATAAAAGGTAGCAACAGGATTTAGGAAGACAGCTGGCAAGCAGGGGAAAACATTTCGCTCCTTACTCCCCCTCTCCAGCTTTTTGTTTCCTGCATCTTCACTGCAGAGACCTTTGCTTGCTGATTGATGAGGCCCCCTTTAAAGCTGGACATCAGAATCATTTTAACAATAGCCCGAGGGCAGTGAGGCCAAACGACTGTGTCCACTACACCAGGCCACTCATTAGGATGGCTGGTCCCCTTCTCACCTCATGGAGGCTTCTTCGGTTTGGGGTGGCATATTCTGGTATGGGTTGGTGAAAAGGGTATCAGCTGGCTCTAGTGAAACAGGACTCACTTGTTAGAATCTGCCAGCTTTCCCCGGTTGGGAAAGGCGATCACAGCCTGCCTGTTTCATTTTCTCTTTTGCACAAATAAATGTGTTTTTCTTCCTTTCTCCTTCAGTCTGCCTCACTATCATACAAATAGGCTTCACAGGCTAACCCTAGGAGGTAGGGAGGAGGTGTGATCTGTCACCTTTCCTAAGATTGTTTACCTGGCATTTGGACCTGAAATGCAAACCAAGCACATCTGGGGACAGAGAGGTTCTGCTTTTTTTCTCCTGAAGGTGACTTGGGAAGGTGGCTTAGGAAAAGATTTCTCTTGCCACCAAGAAAGCTTCATTCCTTTCACACTGAGTTTCAATATAAGAAATGATCTTTTCAGTAGGCACCCAGTGTAACTGCTCTGCCAGCCTATTATCACTCTAGATTATTAAAAGAAACAAAATGCCTCACTCCTGCCCAGAGTGAAATGGGCAGCCATTAGTCTGTGGCCTGAAATGAATCTCATTTTAAATGCAGATTTATTTTTTGCTTAATCACTTAGCAACTATTCAATATTTGGGTTTATATTCATCAGAGTTGATGTAAAGCTTCACACCATTCAAAAATCGATGGCATGTGCATGTTTAATTTCCTCCAAGAATATTATCCAAACTACGAATCCCTATTAATGCTGCGATCATTTGCAGAGCACAGAGCTCAGTCTCTCCATTTCTTTCTCTTCTTGTTGCCACCACGCTCGTCCTGGCCACCATCAGCTCTCCTCTGCACCCTTCCTCGACTTCCTAAGTAGCTGTTAGCTCGGAATTTCATCCTCCTTCCTCCCATCTCTAATCTAGTTTTCAAAATGATCTTCAAACGCAAAACTGATCCTGTCCCTCTCCGACTTAACTTTCTATGCTACCAAATAAACTCCAAGTCCCTCAAGGCCCCCGCATGGCTGTGCATGACCGCACAATGTTCCTCTCCCTCCCTGGCCTTGACACTCACTCCCCTCTGCCTCCCACACTGTGGCTTCTTCTGCTCTGACCTTTGGGCCTTCAGCAGTGCCGATCTTTCTACCTAGACTGTCTTCCGGCCTCCCTCACCTCTGATAGTTCTTCCTGATCTAGGCTTAAATGGTACTTCCTCTGCAAGGCCCTCCCTGACTGAGGTGGAGTTCAAGTTCCCTGGTATACATTCACATGGCACATGGCCATTTCTCATCATGTAGCTGAGTTATGCAGCCTTATTCAGGGACCTTGGGTGAGGCCTCGGAGAAGTTTAAAGCCTCAATTATAACCTGTGCAAAACAGCTTCTCAGAAATGACTTTCCTGGTGAGAAGGTACAATTCTTTCCCTTATTCAGTGACCTTGGTATTCTGAAAGGGTACACACCAGCTCTCCCTAGACCACAGTTGTATCCCGGGTACCTAGCACAACCTAGCACAGGGAAGGTATTTAAAAGATATTGTCTGGTTTCATAAGACTTTGGGAGAATTAAGCACCTACTCTTTCACCATAAATGTGAGCTCTGGTACCTCTGGTTATTCCAGGGGCCACTGGGATCGAAGATCGGCTACAGGAAGGTGTTCCAGACACCATTGCTGCTCTACGTGAGGCTGGGATCCAGCTCTGGGTCTTGACTGGAGACAAGCAGGAGACAGCAGTCAATATCGCCTATGCCTGCAAACTCTTAAGTCAAACGGACACCGTTTACTCTATCAATACAGAGAGTCAGGTAAGGTCAAAGCAGGGGCCACAAGTTCAAGTAGAGAGCCAGCCCTTGGCCAACAAGAGATAGAGTTGGGGGAGGGATGAGATCGAAACACACACCAAAAGCAGCCCTACCACTAAAATTTCACTGGATCTTAGAGTTCAGGAGACCCTGGGAGTTACCCATCCCAGTATTTTCCACCTCATCCCACATCTGGCTGCCTGGTCTCTTTTTATATTACTTCTAAGACTACTTATTAGAAAGTTTTACCTCTCCCAAATTCCACCCTTCGTCCAATCACCCCATTTTACAGATGAGAAAGCTGAAGGCCAACTGGGGCTCAGGTACTTGCCTAGGTTCACCCTGCTAGTTTCTAGTAGCAAAGACTAAATCTGGAACACTGCTCTCTCCTCCTGCAGGATACCATATGGAAGGAAATATGTTTTGATAGGATGGGAGAGAAAAAAAATGAAGCAAACATTCTGAAACAGCACTTTTCAACCAGAATAGGTTATAGGTGTTAAGGAGTAAGATCCAGGAGAATGCCATGACAAGTATGAAGGAATGTATGCCAAGCTATCTTGGAATTTTGTATCCAGGAGGCAGAATCTATTTTCACAATGCAAATTACAGGAAGAAAATTTCCACCATCTTCTTGGCTAAGACATGCCCAACAGAAGGAGGCAGGGGCTGGATTCAGAGGAGTCTGTTGACAAGAAAAGCGTTGTGCTTTAGATGTGGTAGGCAAAGGACATCCCATAAGGAAAAGGAGGCAGAAGAGGAAGAAAGGCAGGGAAATGAAAACAGCCAGAAGAGAACCCACAGAGAACACTAAAATCTCTCTTCATTTTGCCTAAGGCTCATCTAGACCCAGCTAAAAAGTTAAGGTTTATATTTGGCTTTTATTCCACAAAGAAACCATACGCACATCTTTTTTAATGTGTGTGTTATTAAAAATGCCCGTGGCCCTTTTTTGATGAATTGGAAACATCATTTACTTTTCCTAGCAGGTACAGATGATGTTGTAATTAGTTTGAACTCCAGTGAATTTTGGAAATGAAAATAGTCCCTGGGAAGACTTTGGCTTTGATGCTGGACTTAGCAAACATAGTCCTCTGTAGCTTGCTTGAGAGCTTGACCTTGGTGACAGTGTCAAGACTCGCCCAACCTCGTCATGAAGGAAACTTCCTCTGTGATGCTCCTTTTCCTCCAGGTACTGCTGAAAGGAGGGCATCTGCAAACTGTGAGGCTGTGAGGTGGGCATCTTGGGTGGCACAGAGGGCTATTTACAGGTCTTGTCACATGCAATGCATTCCTATAGGAAGATAAAGGTGTCATTAACCAACGGAAGTCCCCAAGGGACACAGGTGACATTCCAAGTCATGTCAGGTCAGGCCACTGAATCTCTAATTCACTCCCTGTCAATCTTTCAAAGCCGTCCTGGACCATCCAAGAGGATGCCTAAATTCTCATCTCTGCCTTCACCCTTGAGCCTACTAAACCTATCAGATGAGTCTTTCTCATTCCCTTGCCCGAGAAGAAATGGTAGATACATAAACACGTTAAGCTGGAAACTGCAGAAATACATTCTAAATCTTAGATTTATTGATGCCCCAGTTGAGTGTAATTCAATATTCAGAAGATATCTTCTCCAGGGGTTTTAATTTGCCTAATTCACTATAAGTTGATTTAGGACTACTGTCTCCTGTTTTTGTGTAAAGCAGTAAGTGTAAGCAAGTTATGGAACCAGTTCTCATCTATAAAGTGAAAGGAATTACTAGCTCATCACTGGAAATATTGATATGTGAAGGAATTTTAAAAGGGAATGGTAAAAACTCTTGTTATTAGAGCTTAATATGATCCAAAAACTTTACTTATCCTCATCTGTAAAGTAAGGATTAAAAAATATTTACCTCACGGGGTACTGGGAGAATTAAACAAGATCAAAGGGAAATAGGACTTACTTGGCCAATACATGTGTTAGTTATCTGTTGCTTCAAAACAAATGACCTCAAAACGCAGCAATTGCAGACATTTACAACATGCATTTACATTTACATTTACATTTACAGTCCTGTGGGTTAGAAGTCCAGGAGCATCTTGGGTGACCAGCTGTGGTTGGTGGGCTCTATTGCAGTTGCAGCAGAGCTTTCGAGGTTGTAAATTCATCCAAAGGTTCAACTGAGTGGGTGCCTTTCGGGTGAGAAGAAAGCCTGCTTGCAAGCTCACCTACATAAGTATCAGCAGGCCTCAGTTGCTGGCCCTCTGGGCCTCTTTATAACATGCCAGCTGGTTTCAACCCAGGTGAGCCATTCCAAGAAAGAGCATATCAAAGGAGAGCAGTAGTCTTTTTATAACCTAATACAGGAAGTTACATTTCACCATCAAAGGAAGTCTCTTCATTAGACAGAAATCACTAAGTGGAGCATACACTCCATGGATGATTACAAGGACATGAATACCAGTAAGTGGACATCACTAGGACCCATCTAGGGACTGCCTACAGCCAGTAGCCGACATACACTAAATGCTCGGTAAATAGTAACTATTGTAAAAATTGGAAATAACTAAGTTCAGATAATTGATTTTGAAACGGACATCTTCAGTGTCTTGCTACAATCATATATTGGAGTAATTTCTATAACTCACACCAACCCAACCTCCATAAAGAAAACTGCCTTGTTCTCTTTCCCAGATAAGAGCCACTCACTTCTAAAACCACTTCCTACTGCCCCTCCAGGTTTTCTACCTAACGTATGGCCTGCAAAACGCAATTTAGCACCTCCTAAAGGAAGACTGAGGAGTACGGAACTATGACTGTTTCCTCCAGAAGAAATTGTTTCACATGTTCTAGATCAGCGTTCTCCAAACTTGTCACTCTAGATCGACTTTCACGAATTTTGCCAAAATCCAAGTGAACTCTACTGTTACATAATGATTTTGTTTAAATTGACTTAATAATACTTTGAGCATAAATTTTAATACTTCAGTAAGTGAAGGATGTCATTCCTTACTAGGGATAAAAACTCTGTAAAATGACAACTGTAAAAAAAACACTTTTAAGATAGTGCATATTTGTAATCCATAATAAATATATTTACCATGGGGAGTTGGTACACATACATATTATATTTTAATCCTTTTTACATCCTCCTTCCTCTCTCTCCAATTTCTAGATCCCCTTCCCATCTCTAAAAGGTCTCTCTGTTTCCTGTCATCTTTTATTTTGCTCTTTATGTTATTTATACTTTCAGTATCCGAAGGAAGAGAAACCATGTCACATTTAACCTTCTGTGTCTGATTTATTTCACAACACTATGGTCTCAAGGTAATGCTATGAAGATTGATAATACTGTTTTCTTCCAAAACTTCCTCAGTCTTTATTTCAAAGTGAAGTTCACAGAAATTAAAGAGATATTAAGAATATAACTACACCATCTGAAGTAATGGAAAAGAACCAATAAAAATAACATACTTAGTATGTTTCAATTTCTAGATTAATCTCTAGATTAAGATGGGTAATATCCATAGGAATATTCTAAGGAACAAAAAAGAATGGAAATGACCTGTGAGAAACAGAAATCCACTGTACCAGCATGAAATATTGTCATTTTTTACCATCATCTTAGTATTATGTATTATGTTATACCAACCCTTATCTTGCCAAGCTATTTCCACTTCTATTTCCAAGCAATGTCTCCTATTATAACCACTGTGTGGTTCCAAATTAATATTGCTTTGATGCTGTTTTAAATACTGGAGAAAAACTGGAGGGTGATTCCTGAGTTATCTCCATGCTACTAAAGAATCAAGTGAAGTTGTTGACACATATTTCCAAAGTTGTTTCCTAATACTGTACTGCTTGACTCTACAGGAAACCTGTGAATCCATCCTGAATTGTACATTAGAAGAAGTAAAGCAAGTCTACCAACCACAGAAGCCAAACCACAACTCCTTTGCATTCTACCTACCTTCCAAGACACCATCCACTACCTCCAGAGCTATAGTTCAAGATTCTGGATTGGTCATAGATGGAAAGACATTAAATGTCATTTTCCAAGGCAAGCTGGAGAAGAAGTTCCTGGAGTTGACTCAGTACTGCCAGTCCGTCCTGTGTTGCCGTTGCACCCCACTCCAGAAGAGTATGATTGTCAAGCTGGTGCGAGACAAGTTGAGCGTGATGACCCTTTCCATAGGTACCCACCATGTTGAGATAAGGGCGGTGGCTTGGCAGGGATGATCTGATGGAAGTCTTGGATCGCAGGTGGGAGGTCTGGTATCAAAACCAAGACACTGAGGCTAAGGCTCATAGGCTCAGAAAGTTCAAAATAACAAGAAGATGCAGTAACTAGGAGATGAGGTAGAGGGCAACTACAGAGAGAGTAAATCAGAGGTCTTGGAGCTAGCAGGTCAGCTAAAGAAAACTCAGGACTTAGAGGTTAAGACAAGAGCACTGAATTCAGAACACTGAATTCAGGTGGCTTGAGAAATGTCACCCCTGAAAATACACACTGAGCCATCTTGATTCTGAGTTCATTTCCCCTCAGTACTTTATACACAGCAGTACCTCGGGTATTTATGAACTTAATATTCTTGGGAGTGTTGCAGGTTGGTAAGGAGGTTTTTGAAATTACGATTGGCTCACTTTAATTTTGTATGCTTATTCCCAAATACAACACCAGAGCAGAGCATACCCGCAATAAATGCTGGCTGGTTGGCCTATTAAAAATTGCTTGGAAGGAAGTAAATGCTAATGCTGTCAAAGTACAGATATAAAAACTACTCACTTAACACCTTCCAGAAACAACCAAACGTGATCTACAACAATCTGCATGATCGTATCTCCAGCCACCTCTCATATGATGCCCACTTTCCTCTTCCCACCATTTGGCCCTCTGTGTCCCAGGCAAATGAAACTGCTCACCACTCTCCATGGGCCCTGTTCTCTCTCACTTCTAGGTCTTTGCATATGCTATGTCCTCTGTAAAACAACCCCCTTTCCAGTGGCAGTTAACTTTCTTTTCCTATAGGATTCCCCTATCAACCACTACTCAGAGCCCGAAGTGCCGTTAAACCTTCTGCGAGGACCACCTCAATAAACTGTGAGCTTGTGGAGCTGAAAATCCCAGTTTCTTTCAGACACTGTTCCATCATACACCAGAACATGCTAAGCACACACTCAATACAGTGCCCCCCCATCCTTGTTTTACTTTCCACAGTTTCTTACTTATGGCAACTGAGGTCCAAAAATAGTAAATGGAAAATTCTATAAATACTTTGTAAGTTTTACTTTTATTTTCCTCATTGAGTTTATTGGTTTCTCTATAAAATGGAATATTACTCAGCTATAAAGAATGAGAAATTAGATTCATTCATAGGAAAATGGATACATATTGAGGACATACTCCAAAGTGAAATAAGTCACACATGTGTAAATACTGAATAGTTTCTCTGGAGTAAACTATAATAGTAGATAAGATCCTAATGATATAATAGACAATGTGAAATAGGAAGAAAGGGGCTAAAGGTGTAGGGAAAGTGGGAAGGGTAGGGGAAAGGTAAGAAGAGAAAAGAAAAAATATGAGAAAATGAAGAAATGGAAATGAAGTGTTTGTAAAGGGGGAAGGAAGAGAGAGGGGTGAAGGGAGGGTAGGGACAAGGGGAAAAAATGAGAACCAAGACCTGTCAGGTAAAGGTACAAGATCCCAATAATGAATGCAACTGTACTGTATACCTAAAATGTACCAATAAACTCAATGAGGAGAAAAAAATAATTGTAAAAACAAAGTTTACCTACAACAACAACTATGTTGGTTTTTATTCTTTAATTGGCATAATTGCACAAATTCATGGGATATATCAATGACAAAAATTCTAATATTTGTTGTCAAATAATTAGAGAGAGAATCGTTCTCTCCTCCAATTCTATATCCTCTATGATGACAACTGTAAACTTAATTGTATCTTATTCTGAGAAGCTACTAGAAAAAAAGAAATGGGGCCAGGAGAATACAGGTGGTTTGATACGAAAAATGGGTGGGCAAACCACAGCCCACTGCTGTATGGATGCTGAAGATGGTTTTTTTTATTTTTTGTCTTTATATTCTTTTTCTTTTCACTATTTTTAATTGGTTATGCATACTAGTTAATGGGTTTTATTTTGTCAAATTCATACATGCATAAAACATACTTTGATTATTTGGTTTTTATATCTGTAATGCTTGTGAAAGCTTACTTGCTTTTCAACCAGAACAACTGTTTGATTATGCTTCTTGGCTCACACAACCTAAACTGACCCTTTCCAGAGTTTAGTTGCTGGACTCTGGTTTTAAAGATAAAGCTATGGAAAGAACTCCCAGGTTAAAACCACATTAAGATTCAATGCTGTCTTTTCTAAAACAATCTTTCCTAATATCTGATGTACCTCTATGACAGAAGATATATTTTTTTAAATGATATTTCATCCTGGAGGAAAAAAAGATAAAGCAATGGGGAGAGCCAGGCTTCCAGGGAAGGCCTCACGATATAGAAATGTGTATAGAACTATAGGTGATTACTTGAATTTAAGTCAAACTTGACCAGCCACATTTCAAAAGCCATGTGTGGCTAGCAGTTTCTGTACTAGACAGTGTAGATCCAGAATACTTCCACCAGAATGGATCTAATTGACAGTCATGGTAACGAGGAGGTCGTGTCTGTGTGTCCATGTGTGCCTGCATATGCATATATCCATGGCTTACCTCAGTTTCCTCAAACAACTCACTTCAGTGAATGGTAAATCAATGTCAGTAGAGGCACCTCAACAACCACCAGAATGGAAAGTTCATCACATTTCCAGTATTTAGAAACAAAAATTGAATACCATCCCTCTCCTTGGACACCATTCATACTCTCTGATGATTTGACTGCCAAGCATTCTTGTTGTCTTGACATGGTCAGTATGCAGGTCACAATGTGCTGCAGAAGTTCATTGGTCCTAGAATCAGTTCCAACTCTTCTGTAATCCTTCACTAGCTGGATTGCCCTTGCCAAGTGTCTAAGTTGCTCAGCTTCTCAGTTTGCTCTTCTGTAAGGCCCTCAGTAACATCTGCACAGGTCTTTTTTATTTTTCCATCTGTGAAGGATTCATGGTCCGTGCCTCTCTTGCTTACTAAATGTATCCCCAGCACATACTATTGTGCCAAAAAAAGACATTATTAATATTTGTTCAACAATAAAAATAAAAGTAGAGCTTTATGACTTTCTATGGGACTACTCAAGAAATATGAGAAATACTTAGTTGTGTTCAAATGAGAATGCTTTATAGCCATCTCACTGTCACTGAGCAGTTGGGCCAGGAATAAAAACACCTCTTAACCTCTTTCTTTCAGGTGATGGAGCAAATGACGTAAGCATGATTCAAGCTGCTGATATTGGAATTGGAATATCTGGACAGGAAGGCATGCAGGTACTGTCTTGTCAACTAGGCTTCTTTTGCCCCTACTTGCCTTAATCCTTTATTTTTGTTTCTCCCCTACCCTCCTTTAATCTCCTCACTGGAGATTAAGGAATAACCCAGAGTGCCGGAGAATTGTCAACTGTACGTCAGGGGTCTTTCATGCCTCTACGTGGCCTCCATTGTCACATTTCTATTGCCCAGTCTTTAAAAAGCAGAGGGAGAACCAAGAATGTTTGGGTTTTATAGATGGCCAATGATGGTTGCATTCTAAAGCTAAGTAGTACCCTAAATATAAGCCTTCCTGGATTCCACATGCCGTCTCTATAACCTGCACCCACATCCAAAGTTGCAGTGCCTTCCATAAGCAATAACAGACATAAGGATAAAGACATCTTTCAATTACCATTTTAGTCTTGATGACCAGATTGACCCAGCCTTTGCTTGATAAACTTTCATAGTGTACCTAATTTACTAAAAATGCAGCTTGGAATGAGCATACTAACTTGACTTGCTGTTTGTTCCCACTAAATCATATCCCATTTTGTGGTTTTGAAGCATTAACAATTATATTGCTATCACCAGTGCAGACATTTGGCTTGGCCTAAATTTGTTGGTAAGCATGAAAGAACATTGATCAGGAAGCCACAAAATAGTTTGGTATCACCCTTTGCGTGTCTACCCTATGCCTACTCCCTATGAGGTACTTCACATCTATTATCTCGCTGGCTTTTAATCACCACCACAATTAGGGATTGTTGTTTGTTCCTTTCAGATGAGGAAATGGAGGCTCAGCAAGTTGAAGTAACATAACCAAGATTCACGCCAGGATTTATAACCAAGAATGTCCAAACTTCATATTCTTAAGACTACTCTAGACTATATCTTATTGTGACTCTTCCCAAGGGCAGATGATACATTTCAGCCCCCTTTAAGGGATGAACTGTCCAACCCTCAGCTCCATCTGTGCATGGCTGTAATGTAACTCCAGGAGATGAGGGGTGCACACAGCTTGGAGAAGTACATGAATGGAAGGAAACTCCTGCTCTCTTGTTAACTATCATATTCCTAAAATGGAGCCTGCCACATCCTTGGCCCAAATTAATACTTTCTGAGTAAATCGAGGGAGATGGTGGTCCAGACTATGTCACTGGCCCATTCTGGAGCATCCTCCTTAGGTTCTAGTGTGGTTTACACTTCCCAGAAGAGAGGGTGGGGGCGTCAGAATTCAAGAGTGACCACATAATATAATAGGACTTTCAGAGTCTGTTGGCTGCAAAGGTAGAACAAAGCATCGCCCTCAGTGGCGTTGGTTGCTTTGGCTAGAAAGGGATGCCTCTGCTCTCTCCTCACAGGCTGTCATGTCCAGTGACTTTGCCATCTCTCGCTTCAAACACCTCAAGAAGCTGTTGCTTGTGCATGGCCACTGGTGTTACTCACGCCTGGCCAGGATGGTGGTGTACTTCTTCTACAAGAACGTGGTAAGTGCCCCTGTCATCACTTCCCATGCAGGCCATGAAGTCCTTATCAGAGCCAGATCTCTGGGAATAATTTGTAAGGGAATAATTCAGCCTGACCTGGACTTGGGGTCCTGAAATTGTCCCTTACTACCTCTGTGACTTGGAGCAAGACTATTCATGTCTCTGGCTCATAATAGCCTCTTTGAAAGTTAATGTGAAAATTGGCAATACTGCGTAGAAAGCACTTGGCACATACGGAGTAGCATGAATGGCTCCGAGTATGCACTTGAGTCAGACACATGGGGTTCCAGTTCAGGCTCTGTGTGTGGCAATATTCCGAAACCTGTTTCCCTAGCTGTAAAATGCACATGGTAATATTACTTTTCTCATCTATGTGCTACCAGGAAGCTTTTGAAGAACAAGATACCTAAAGTGACTTTTAAGAAGGAAGGGACTTTTTGCTGACAGTTTGAGATTTCAGTCTGTAGTTGGTCAATCCATTACTTTTGGGCCTGCACTGAGGCAGAGTCCCGGTGGGAGCACATGGCAGAGGAAACTGCTTACTCCATGACAAAAGGAAATGACAGAGAGAGGGAAGAGCCAGAGTCGGATATCCACTTTAAGAGCACACCCCAGGTGAGCTCACTTCCTTCCTCCCTCTAGGCCTCATTTCCAAATGGTTCCACAGGCAGGCAACTGAACATGCTTAACACAGGGGCCTCTTGGGGGGATGCTTACCCGTATTGGCTACAAAGTTTAAATGTGAGCTTGCAAAAAGAATGTGAGCTTGAATACAAAATGATTGGCATGAAGTAATAACTCTGTAAGATTACCCATTGTCTTTCATTAGCGTTGTTGCTGCCATTACTCTTACAGTTAAATTTCATAAGCGAGACTTTTCGGTTGTCAGGAAGGATTTGAACAAGGCTGACTTCTATCATAAATTTTATCCCCAAATAGAGCCATCCAAATGCACCATACCTTGAGAGTGACGGTCCCTCAAACAGTGTGAGCCTGGAGCCTCTGACTTCACCCTGAGATCCAAACATCACTGGGTGCTACCAGGCTTCCTTGCAGGAGCTCCTGGGAGGCATGAAGTGTCTGCTGGAATAAAGTTCTTGGGGTGGGCAGAGCATCCGGGTTATAATCTTTTCTGACTCAACAATGGAAAAGTCATTTAACTTCACTGGGCCTGAGTTTCCTCACCAGTGATATAGGGAGATTATGACTCTCATTATTATGAGGTTCGAAGGTCGGAGCTCTGGAAAGAACATATCACCACTGGGGCCGGGGATTTAGCTCAGCGGTTCAGTGTCCTGCCTTGCAAGCGCAAGGACCCAAGTTCAATCCCCGGTACCAAACAAAAAAAAGAACATAGCACTATACAAATATTGTAAAGACAGTGTTGTGTGTCCTAAAACTTGTGTTGGTTTCTGTCCTATTCTCAAGGGTCCAAAGCAAGCCCACGCTGTGATACTCAAACTGGCAGAGGTTCTAGAAATCTATGATTAATCACACCTTCAGGAAAGAGTCAGAACATCTCTGTATTAAAGGAAGGAACAAAGGCCTGAGTTTTTCATTACCTACTTCAAGGGCCAGTGAATAATCCCCAGGACTTCGCAAACAGAATCTAATTCTTCTTTGCCTAAGGCAAGGGGGAAGATTCAGACCAGGGTGGATTAGCCAAGGAACAGTTACAAAATCGTGGCTTTGGGGTCGCCTCTCACAGTCCTTCCTCTAGGCTCTGCCACAGTGCAGTAGGCCTCACTCAGGAGTGATCATTTCTGTGCCAACTTTAATACATATGCAAATAAACAGCACGACAAAAAATAATGTAAATTCGATCAACTAGATGGTAATATTATCTCAGCAAGTCTATGCAAACAAGTCACTCCATTTGGGTTGAAACTCACTCTGAGCATAAAAAACTATTTAGAATTTAAAAGCTCCCCATTCATTTTTTTTTTTTCCGCAACAGAAGGAATCATTCTTTTGAATAAGCACAGCCTCTTTCTCTGCATTAAATTTGTGAAATAGAAAAGGAAACGTTTCCAGCCAGCCGTGCTTTCAAAGTTTAAATGATATTCATTTCTAGCCTGATTCTGTGCTCAAAATTGCAATCCGGATGCCACATTATCTTCCGGCTGCAATTAGAGGGTGGAGAACTATGACTTCCACATCCGAAACCAATTTCAGAGGGGATTAAAACCCTTCCTCCCATGAAATTTGAACAATGAATTAATTACTGCTCTGTAGCTTCTTAAGAGAAAGCAAGCATCCCATCTCAGCGATGGTGCCAGGGGGTTCTGTGGGCTCCCTGTGAGATGTGAAAATTTCAACATACACAATCCCACCAGGGCGGTAGCGGGAAAAAAAGCAAACAATTTGTAGTCGTAAAACTTCAAGGGGCCGTACTAGAACAAGAGAACATAGATTCATTCCATCTACCCAAGTGTCTACTGAGTATCTTCTGTGTGTCAGGAACAGTGTGGGCCATGGGATGGAGCCACACAGGGAGCCTCAAGGCTCTGCACAGGGCCAGGCTAGAGATATTTGCTGTTTTTCAGGTCGCAGATGGCTAGAAGAATTTCACTGTGTAAGCCAAAGACAGGACTGAGAAAGGCTGGGAGTATTTATAACAAAAGGAGCTTGAAAATTCAGACACTGGTTATACCACTTTCTAGCTCTTGACTTGGGCAAAAAGCAACTAAGCATTTCAGATCCTTATCTGTAGAGTAGGACTAATAATTGATATTAATGTCCCTATCAATATGCACTATTAATAAGTAACATAAATACTACGCTATTATTACCCAAAAGAATCTTGCAAGGTTGTTAGAACAAATTATGAGCATTGTACCTCTAGAAATCCACTACACAGTGATATTCAATAACTTACATCACACATGGCACTGAGTAATTATAATAACTGTAATTGATGTTGTAAGAAACTATTACTGTGTTACAATTAATAATGATAATAACAGCCTCTTCAAATTGACACCAGCCCAGCAGTTAGGAACGGAGAGCACTGGTTTGAACATAGAGCTGCTGAATCTCTTCTTGTGAGAGCCGTCACATCTCTGTGCCTCAGAACCAGAACTTCTCAGCTCTCTAGTGCTAACTCCAGGGCCAGCTGTTTCTGTGACTCAGACCAAGTCACCAAACACTTCCCAGTCTGGCAAACCTAAGAGGGACACCGCCCATCCCCAGACAGGGAGATCTTGAGGGAGACAGAGCTTCTAATAAATAAATAAAGCAATGTTTAGGCAGGTGATTCTATTTACCCTTCTGAACAACAGGGGAGCGTGTGGACTGGTAAACCTTCTCATGAGGTCAGCTTCTCACAGGCTCCCTGCTCACAGCTCCGGCTTCTGGCATCTCTTGCTCAGGGGTATCCCTTCACTGTGTGTTACCACACTGCTGCCATTCACGTGACATGGCCTACGTGTTGCTGTTCCCGGGACAGGTGACAGAGTGCTGTTCGTGAAGGTTAAGGAGTTTGTCCAAAGTCACACCGGAAGTAATAAACCTAGGAATTTTAAACCGGTCCTCCTAACCACTGTTGCGTCCTCACTTCACACCCTGATGACGTTCGCTTTGGGTCTTGGAGAACTTTAATAAGAGTAATAGAAGTATTAATGGCAGGAGCTGCTAGGAATGTGGGGTTGGGCCCTGCGCACACAGATAAGACGGCACAGCACCTCGGCAGCGGCATGCAGGGCCCTTGTTCACAGAGCCTTCTCTCTGTCTGCAGTGCTACGTCAACCTGCTCTTCTGGTACCAGTTCTTCTGTGGCTTCTCTGGTTCCACCATGATAGACTACTGGCAGATGATATTCTTCAATCTCTTCTTCACCTCTTTGCCGCCCATCGTCTTTGGAATCCTTGATAAAGACGTCTCTGCAGAAACACTCCTGGCGCTGCCCGAGCTGTACAAGAATGGCCAAAACTCTGAGGTAAAGGGCGCTGGCGCACAGGAAGAGATGGCCTAAGCTTGTCTCTCACCTCGCTCGCTTTCCTGGCTGTCAAGAGGGAGGGCACCAGGCTGGAAGTTGAGAGCCTTGTGCTCCGGCCACTGTTCTGCACTTGTCTCCCAGGTGACTTTGAGTAACTCCTCTCATTGAGTGACTCCTCCTAACTGCTGGCCCCTCTCTCTCTCATTTGCTTTTGAGGGTGTTGGCAAAGAGCAGTGAATATTTTTTTCTTTTAATTATATCACAGGCTAATATGTGACTGCCCTAGGTGAAAGGGAAAAGAGAAAAATGTATCTCTACTAGGGCCTTGAAAGTACCTCAGCTGAACCCCCATGATGCAGTGTGTTTATCTTTTGTAGCTGCTATGACAAACTACCTGAGTCTACGCAATGTAGAAAGAAAAGGAGTTTATTTAGCCCACAATTTTGGATGCTCTAAGTGCAGAATCAGGCAACCCCATCTGTTCAGGCTTTGATTGCATCAGACCATCAAAATGGCACCAGAGGAGAAACATGAGCAAGGAGAAAATGTCACAGGGTGTTATGGGTATATCCCCAATAGGTATATCCCCAGTGCCTCATGTGGTCATAGGTGGGGCTGTTCAGAGGTGGGTGCATCTAGGGTGTGTGATGCTGGGATTGATGGAGCCATGCTAGGATTAAGCATGCACCCCCCTGGGTGTGAGTGCTACCTACCTTAAGATTGGGTAGCCTGGATGGAATATAAGGAACAGAAATGGGCCTGCTACCATCGCTTGCTGCTGCTGCTACCACCCGCGGCTCCTTGCTTGCTGCTTTGCTGCCTTCTGCTTGCTCTGCCATACCATGGACTGATTCTCCTATGAAATGCCCCTCTGCCACGCCACTGTGCCTTGGAGCCAGCCCATTAGGGACTGAAATCTCTACAAACCATGAGCCAAAAAAACTTTTCCTCCTTTAAGTGTCAGGTATTTTGTCTCAGCAGTGAGAAAAGTGACTAATACATGGGGTGAGACAGGAAACCAGAGCGACTCATAGGGCAGGCCTGCTTTTTTATAACAACCCACTCTCAGGGGAAGTCAGTCACCTTCTGAGATAACCACTAACCCCATCCCAGACAGTAGCCTCAATGACCTAAGTAACCGCTCACTAGACCCCCCATCTCATAAAAGCACATATCATCTCTTCGTGTCACCACACTGAGGACCAAGATAGCAAAATCGGAACCCTTGAGGGACACACACAAAGTATAGCCAAAGCAGAGCGCCCAGTTCGGGTAGACCTGTGTCCAAAAGTTTGCTCATCACTGGGTAAGACACTTGTCTCCCAGCTGACTTTGAGTAACTCCTCTCATTCAGTGACTCCCCCTAATTACTGAATAGATGAATGCTTCTGCTTCACAATTGGGAAGGCAGAACTTCGAAGTCAAGATCACATATAGTCCGGAACTTGGGTACTGGGTAGAAGACCTGGAAAGACATTAGTGCTTTTTTAGAAAGCCCAAAGAGGCCACAAGGCAACCATGAATGATTTGGAGAAGACAGATGCACAGGCACTGCAGGTGGTTAGAGCAGCCCAAGGATAGGTAAGAAGACAGGATGGAAAACAGCAGAGGGACCCTGGCTGCCTCAAAGAGGACTCTGGGAGAAGGGATTCAGAAACACCTGCGAATACAATAGGTTGTCACCTGTGACAAGGGAAGACAAAATTGCTTGTGGTTTCTGAGATCTGCTGATTGTTCTGTGGACAGCCAACAAAGAGATCCAGTTGTAACCCAAAGATAGCAGGAGAAAGCAGTAGAGCAGACCAAACAGGCAGCATGGGGCAGCACAGACACCTCTTAGGCTCTTCTAATTTTACCTTTCCCACAGGCATGATGGCTGCAAACCGTACTCCCTGAGTACCTGCCTTGTAAGGACGTTAGTGTGGTTAGATCATCAGCTGTAAGGCTTCTGTTTACAGTTTATCCTTGCAAGGCAGAAAATGTGAAGCAAAAAATGAAAAGGTTCCTCTCTGCAGCCACTGAGCAGTCTCTGTGCGTCCATGATCCTGGGATGTAACTGATGTCACTCAGAAACTAAAGTCTCTACGTGTGCCAGGTTTGTAGCAGCACCAGCCATAGATAGTGACTGGTAATTAACACCTGGGCACTTGCACGGTATCAAGGCACAACTGCATTTACTCATCTTCAACCCCAAGGTAATATATGTATCTACATTTTATCTACATTGAGGGGGAAAACATACCGTTCTCAGAGGAATGTAGTGATTTTTACAAGATCACATAGTGAATGCCAGAGCTTGGAGTAGAACTGGAATCTGTCACCCCCATTCCATTGCGGCTATGATGAGAGGCACTGCAAGTGACATATTGCAAAGAACAGTGCTTGCTTCAGCATTAACTGTGGGTGTGTTCTTCCCTGGCAGTGTTACAACCTGTCAACATTCTGGATTTCCATGGCAGATGCGTTCTACCAGAGCCTCATCTGTTTCTTTATCCCTTACCTGGTAAGTTACGTGGTCCCATTCTGGACACAACCATCAGTGTGGGATCAGTCCTGGTTATGTGCAGTTACAGACTAGCAGTGTCTTTTTGGACACTGCAGAGCAGAGGCTCCAAACTGGTGGTTGCCCCCTACGTCTCCCGCAGAGTGTTACCTTCTGGTGACTTTTTGAAAAAAACCAAAGGATGTTGATATACTAGGTCATTTTTCCTCATAACAAGAAATAAGAGTTGACTCACGGCCCTACCATGATGTGTGTTCTATGCATTGCAACTGGACACCTTTCTCCTTGTTCTTTTCCCTCACTGGACACCTGCCTTCTGTTGCACCTTATAAGCACTCTATCAAAGCCTTACATCTCACAGTACTTGTTTGTTCCTCTTCTACAGACCTACAAAGGCTCTGATATCGACATCTTCACATTTGGAACACCAGTCAACACCATCTCCCTCACCACAATTCTCTTGCACCAGGCAATGGAAATGAAGACATGGGTAAGTGTCCCAAATCCTGTTTAGCTTAAAAACTACATTCCTGTCCATTGACTACATTAAGATTTTTGAGTCATTTCTCTCTGTATTTTGATCTGCTCAGGAAATACTGAGCCCCCAGGTGTATCCTACATGTAAAAGGGTGATTTGAGTAAGAAGATAAAATCCCTGACCTCAATATGCTTATCTATCCAGGCTGACAAAACTAACACACATTGAACATGAGACCGTTAGTTGCAAAAATTTGATATCACTGATCTAGAGACAAAAAAAAAAAAAAAAAAAAAAAAAAAAAAAAAAAGA